AGGATAACTTTTTTTCTACCAAAAGAAGTTAGAAACTCATATATGTCCTGGCTGTCCCCCAAGAGAAACAAACAAACCTTTCAGCACCACATCTCCTTTCACAATGCCCTTAAAGATAACCATCAGCAAATGAATAATGAGAAAAAAGGATGACTAAAAATAGCTGATTCGAATGGTGGGGACACTGACTGAAGTAGTCAGTCCCTGGGGGTGAAAGGAAAAGAAGAAAAACAATGTCTCACTCTTCTTAGCTTTCCTTAAACACAATAAATTCAGATGGATCTTGCCCACAGGCTTACTGTGCATTTTTTGCAGCTAGCCTTCTGCTACGCTATTTTAAGTTGTGCTTATTTTGAAATAAGAATTGCAAACAGACTCAAAAGAGGGTGGCTTCTTATGCTGCATTTATGATGCAGCAGAAAGAGCACATGAAATTCATTGCTCTCATCCCCAAAATGCATGCAGTCTGTCTGTCTGTCTATCATTTTGCTACAGCCCATGTATCAAAAGAATACATATGGACACAACACAGAGCTTAGAAAGCTGCCCTAAAAGGAAGATAATGATGTCCAGGAATGGAGCTCTTGGCAACAGGATAGAAGACATGGTTTTCAGTATCCAAGTCTAGCCTACAGTACTGGGAATTCCTGATGGTTTCCCATCCCACCACTAACCAGTTCCAGCCCTGCTTAGCTTTTTCAAGGTTGGCCAAAGTCACCTGATGTGATTGAGGAAAAAAAAACCTTCAGCTATACATCATCCTCTTCCAAACAATGAAGTATGAGAAGATCAGAAAACAACTGTTGTCCATTAAAGATGTAAGCATCAGAATGGCTGTAGCTGCCTTTGACACATTAAGAAAAAGCCAGGAACCTAATCATTTGGTTCTTCTTCTTCTTTTCCACTGATTCCCAGGAACAATCCTAACAATCCTACTGGGATACAATTATTACTAAGTCATTTTAAAATGCCAAATAAATAAATGAACGAATGAATGAATAAATGGCAATATCTTCCAGAGCTAATTTTTCTTTCATATCCAGCTCTTTCCAAAGGACCAAACGTTTGTTATATAGTTTTTAATACATCATTACATCCTAAATATATTATTTAAAAAAGCTGACATCTTATGAAGTCTAAAATGGCTTCCCCATTCCACTGCTATTTAGAAGTGTTTAATTCCCATAATTAGCCATAGTAGCCAAGAATCCTGGGAAATGAAGTCCATCACATCTGTAGGATCTCAGGTTGGGGAAGGCTGGTTTAAAAAGCCTTGATAGATTAATTGAGGCCATCTGGTGATGTTTAAAATTATAATGTATTCTAAATGATGTTTTATCCCTAGTTTAGCTGCATCATATTGCAGTTATATTACATCCAAGTCTCTTTTCTTCTGTGCTTACCTTGTGTGTATGTTTTTTGCACCCTATCATGTATTTTGAATGCAGCAATCTTGCCTATACTAAATATTATTTATGTGTCTTCTAGATGCATACCTGGGTTTTCCATCCAATAAGCCCATCTTTTCCTTGTACCATAAAGCAAGTTAAGCATAGGAAATTTGCTGTAGCAAGAATGGAGGTAAAAATTTCATAATACTTTTATACTTTTTCCTAATGTACAACTAACGTACAGTGAACCTACTTGATTCATCCATTCATGCAAGTCCCAAGTCCAAAAGTTGAAATCATTCTTTCGATTTCAAACAAGTTGCTACCATATTCTACTAAAGGTGTTAGACCAACAGATAGATTTTAGTGACAGAAACTGGCTTTAGACGCTTGCTTAAGGATGGCTTATGCTTTTATGGGTAATGGAAACTCTCTTCTACTTACTGCTGTTTTTAAACATAACTCTGCATGAAGCAATGTTTTGATGCCACCTCCTAATACAAAGGCCATGAAAATAACTGGCTTCCACAGACTAGAATGAATTGCATGCATGAGTGCCCCAAACCTAACAAGGTCACAATAGACAGCAAGAGAATATAAACAGCCCTGCTTCTTTGTTCTTGCATTTCTTTATCAGCATTTAATTACTAGCACTTCTGGCTACACTGGGAAAGGAAAAGTGCTATGTTGAACACTCTGTTCTGATGTAGCTGAAACACAACTTAGTTCCCTTCTATTATCAAAGAAGCAATTGGTTGGCATACCAGAATGAAGTACATTATTTCCAGACTAAATGTTAACTTTAGTCTAGAGTGGTGAGAGGGACAGAGTTGCACACACTGGTTACATATTTAGGATATAGTTTGGTCAACTTGATTACCAAGATCTAAGTTAGCAAATACAATTCAGTCAAGTCATGATCTAGTCTCTGCATGCATGAAAAATTTGTATTTTCTTCAGATAGACTTTCCAAGCAGATTTTCCAGTGGGTCTTGTGCTGAGACTAGGCCCTGAGTCCTTAGAATATCAAGATCCCTGTTGATACTTAAATGCCCTGCCTGTTTAAATGTTTGTGTAATTTCTTTTACTAAATAAATATATGGAAAAACAAACATGCTTCACAGGAAGCAACAGCATCAAGCATAATGGGTATTTTCATAAAATAAATACCAGAGGTATTTATAGAAAATAAAATGGAAAGGATGGGAAGCTGAATCCCAGTTCTTTCTTGCTTCCTGGTGCATTCAGCATCCATCAAGGCAGTCATCTTGTGAAAGATAAAGACTCCCTCAAGATGAGCTCCTGATGACTGCATGGATACCTCTTCAGAGATTTCTTTGCAACAAAACAAAAGAGGTTTCCAACTGCCAAGTTCCAAGATGTTTTTCAATTCCCCAGTCAAGTCTACAGTCCTGGGATTTTTTGGTTATCTACAGCCACTTCCTGATCCTATTAAGCCTTTTTTCCCCCCAGATCAGCCAATCAGAAGGTACCTATTTAATCCCCCCAGAGTTGGGGATCTGTAGGCCAGGCTTCGGTAATAATCTCATGCAGTATAAATAGCAGTCCAATTGTTCTTAAAAGTAGTAACATGCCTATTTCAAGAATTAAAGTTGTTAGAACACAGAGAACTTTAGTATAGTGAAAACCTTAGGTATTTTAACATGGTTTGGGATTCTTTCTTGAGACTACAAGAAAGAAATGCCACTTTCCTGACTAAAATCAGAAATGTGTAATCTATTTAAAACCACTCAAAATTCAAACTTTATATATATTAGCACAGTATATTACAATTGATCACAGCTTTCAATAGAAGAGAATATATGTAGCTCAAGGTTGAGCTGTGGAGTCTTAGGTGCTCTCTGAGCTTGGTTGTTTGCTTGCAGACGTTTCATAACCCAGCTAGGTAACATCCTCAGTGTGGGTGAGTGTGGGGTTTGCTCCCTGTTTATATACAGTCAATGTATATATCAACCATTGATATATTTATATACCGACAATGTTTATATCAACCATTAATAATTTTATCTTTTAAAAGTGATAAACCATTCTGGGCAACAAGTACCAAAACAGAAAAATAATATAGTTCTAAGTATATTCAGAAAGGGAATGAATACCAAAGGTTAAGTTTGGTACTAACATACATATATTCCGTCTGTTTTCCAAGTCTATTCATAAAACAGACAAAAGACATGAACTCTCCAACTTACATATTCAGCATATCCACAAGATACTCATCCATAAGAGGCAGCTATCTGGTAATCATACTGATGATATGTATGATTTTTACAATTATTAAAACGTTTGTATTCCTGGATTCCCTGCTTAGTGATTTAACATCTTTATCATTAGATACATCATCTTCTGAATTGCAGTTTTTCGTAAAATTCTGAAAAAGGGTACATGTAAAATTGTAAATGTATTTCAACAGATATAGTTAAATCTACTGCTGGTTAGCTATATTTCCTTAAATAAAACAACAAACTCTTCAATGTTTTTTTTTTTTTTTACTGATAACAAAAGGGAAATATAGCCTATTCTATAGAAAGCATTTACAAAGTATGCAGAACTAGGGAATCTAGGATGAATTAAAATATCTTAGTGAAGTTTCTTTGAAAGGGTTGACTCACTGAAAAAACATTTTTAAACAGTGACATTTTCTTTTTGCATTTATTTTGTATTTCCTTTGTTTGTGATAGCCACCTGCTTGCACTCATTTTGTAAGGTCAGGATGCTTTTCTTGCGGTTGACTATCATCGCACACAACAAGGGCCCTTTTATAGATATTGTAACTTAAGCTTCCTTTTTATTGTAAGCATCAGGTTTTGCAAAAAGTAATGCACCAGCCTGAAATAGCAACAGGAAACTTTCTCTGGCTAAGGCGGCACAGTGCTGCCCTTTCACAAGTCATATCCACATTTCTTTGTCCCAAGCAATGCAGGATTTTCCTAGTTAGTGACCAGCCCAGCCTTCACAAATTAGATTACAATTCTCTTCCCACAGCAATCACTCTCCACCCACTTGACTGATATATGAAAGCAGCCTCTCCCAAACACATATATATTCAGAAACCAAATTTAGCCAAGAATGTCTATGTCTGGATGTACAGTCATGGTTTAGTTTTAGCCATGTTTATAGAATAAATCACAATAGCTGTCACTAAGCCATAGACCTCAGTTTACAAATAATAGTTGGGTTAACATCAAATCAAAACTAAGTAAATCACACAGTATCTTAATGCAGAATATGAACCAAGCCCCTTTCCCCTCAGCAAATGCGTGTCGTTTTACACAATTGGATTCAGAATGTCATCTTGAGGCTCAAATGACATACCATATTCCATATCATGTGGCATTTGTAGGTCAACAAAAAATGAGCATGCCATTGAAATAAAATTTTAAATAGGAAAAATTAGTTAAGTGTCCACTCCTGGCACATCCTGTGAGTCACTACTTCTCTTAAAGTTCAGGTGAATTCCAAAACTGCGCACCTCATAGTAGGTGTCTTAGCATCCAACAAAGATACTGTTACTAAAATACTTATTTGCAAAGGTTTTATTGACACATGATGCAGCAGGCTATGCTTAAAAGGCTTTTTAAACATGCTTACCCGAGAGATAGTGAGAGGCATGTTGAAGTCCTTGCCACCTTGGAGCCTGAACCCCCAAGGAGCTGGACCCACCAGTGAAACACTGTAGTTATTCATGGTATTCTGCAGTTAGGCTGTAATTCCCAGGGGGAACAATCTGTAAGAGAGATTTGAAGATTTTGAATATTAAACACACAGCCAAAACTTCCGTAATAAGATGCTATTATTCTGACTGGGATCATACACTGCACTAAGCTATGAATAAACCACAGTGGCTGGAATCACACAATACACTAACCCACTGTATGTCTTAGCACAAGGCATGAATTCAGTCACAGAATCTAGGTAAATCACAGCAACCAGGAAGCTTCCCTCAAAATTTGTTATGGACAATCATGCAATGAGTTATTTTAAATAATTTCTTCCAGGAATCTTAAACATTACATGGGGAGGAAAAGTGGATGTGTTTTCATTGTGGTTTACTAAACAAGCCACAATAACTGGATTCACACATCACACTAGCCTGAACCAAAGCAAGCAGAAATTTTGGCTTAACAGAAAAGTACAACTGAGCCAGTCTCTTTCTTCCTTCTAGGCAAGGAGCTATCGCTCTTCCCTCTCTGTTCTGGAATATACAAACAACCCAGATGGAGAATGACCGATCCCTTGTTTTGCATGAAGTTTCAGAAGAGAAATTAGCATTTTCAACCTTCTCCTGAGTTTTGAGAAGAGCTTCCTCTTCTACACAAGGAAACAGTAGCTGGTGAAATCATGAATAATGTCCTAGTCAGAATTAGTGGTTCTCAGCTTTCAACTCATATGAAGTCTCTGAAGATCTCCTTGGAGCTTCTAAATCCCCCACCCCCAACATACACACACAAATATTGTGTTACATTATCTGCATTTTTATACTGCCATTATCAGGAGAAAATTGGGAATATACACACTAAATATGTTTGCAACTAGAAATTTAAAAGCACCCAGCCCTAATTTCATCAACATATTACACCCCTCATTTTTATTTTTCCTTCTTCTTTTAGAACCGCAAAGTGGTTCTAAAAATAGATTTCAGGAGTAAAATACAGAATAAATTTAAGTTACGGATGTTGTTCAGAGGCTCTAGCTTAGCCTAGGAAAGGTATCTCATTCTCTTATGAAGGGGAAATGCTGGATACATTATGCAAAATGCCTGGCATTTGTCAGTTATAGAATGTGCTGAAAATTCAGCAGGCAAAATGTTCTAGATGTCATTTGTTCTCTTTCTACAGTTCTGAAGCCACCCAAGATGAGGATTTCAGCAGTTCAACTTCCAGAGGCTGTGGATGTCATATTGTTGCTTTGAGCATAACCATGGTGAACTAAGCCAAATCGTTAATGAGAGGTTTGGACTGAAACTCAATAACAGTTGAAGGATACTGATTATCTTTATCACACTGAAATCAATCAAGACTAAGTTAGCTTCCATTGTGGAATGGAGATCTATCTAAACAAGGCTAAGTTATGGTTTAACCATGGCTTGAGGGATAGGCCAGAACTGTGGCTAAAACTATTGTGGTCACTGAAAGATGAACCCTGATAGGAAAGTGTTAACTCTAACTCTGCCTGCTAGAAGGCAGGGCTTAAGACTTCTTCCTCCTCCACGGAGGAAATCCTTCTTTTTCATCTGCAAGTACTGACTTCAACAGAGGGTAATTTAGCCTTTCCTTTATTGAATGAAACTCAGTCAAGGCACATCACAATTACAGATGGCATGTGTCATTGTAATCTGATCTCTGGTTACATGAATCTCCTTTCAATCCATTCTCTGCAGAAGGCAGAATTAAGGCTGACAGGGAGAGAGGTCTGTTTTGGAAAGGAGAAAAGCCCTACTTTCTATCAGGAAGAGGTGGAGTTAACTCTTTCCTGCTGGTTCATCTTTTGGTGATGGAGAACGACTGGGTTTCTTCCTCGCACTAAGCCACAAACCATGAATTATGAGCAAAACACGTTATAACTTAGCTGAAGGCTCTGAGCACAGACTAAAAAATAAGCAGTATGCTAAGTAAGCTTTTGATTCTTTCCAGCCTGATAGACTGCTGGAAATAAAAGGGATTGGTTTCTGTCTGTCCAGCTATCAGCAGCATAACTGTCCAAAAACTAAAGTGACTAAATTTAGTGCGGAGGGAAGTGCCAGCAAAAGAAAGAGAGTTCAAAAATAGGCCAGACTATCACAGGGCCTATGAAAAAAAACTTTCCCCCGAAATACTCCCCCAGTACATCCCTAGCAGAAATGCAGTTGGGCAGCACCTCCAAATGTTGCCGGCTGTTCCATTCTAAGCACATCCACCCACCCCCTAGTAGTTTCCCTTCTGCAGGTATGACCCACCTCGGACCATACGCAGCCTGCCCTGTGCATGTTCCAAGAGGCAACCTGTTACTTCACTACAAAGAAGAAAATGCAGATGCCGGCAAAGGGGTTGGAAGGAATTCCAGAAGGCAGGGTCTGCATGTTTTCCCTATCTTGTTTTTCTTTCCAACTTAACATAACGTTGGAAAGAAATTATGTAAAGGGGCTCATGATTCTGTCTGCCCATCAGTAGGATAATTCTTGAAAAGTGAACAAAACAGGACCAAATCTGTTGTGAAGAAAGAAGCCAGCAAAAGAAAGACTGAGCTTGAAAATGGGCCAGATTTGATTAGGCACTGCAAAGAGAAAAAATCCTCCCCCCCCAAAAAAACCATGGATCTCCATGGGACATGCAGTTGGACAACAGCTCCGAAGGTTGTGGAGGCCTCCATTCTAAGCCCCTCCGTGGTCATGGAACCCCCAGTAGAGCTATTAGGAAGAGGTTGGAAAGAATTCAAGAACTAATGCTCTCCATGCTTTGCTTTCTCTCACTTTTTTTCTTTTCAATGTTTGTGAAAGTATTTCATTTTGCAAGTACAGATAGTCCCCGGGTTAAGAACGCCTGGTTTACAGACAACCCATAATTAAGAATGGAGCCTACTGTAGCAAAATTTGAGTTAAATACACAATGGTTCGAGTTCATTTCACAATGCTACTTATACAGTATTATACAATAATACTGTTCCAACTTACATATAAATTTGACTTAAGGACAGACTTTGGGAATGGAAATCATTCTTAAACTGGGGACTACCTGTATTAATTGTTGCTCTAAGTCAGGATAATAGGACATTAATGAATATTAAACTGAAACTTGTAGTGTCTACAGAGAGGTTATAATATTAGGTAGTATGGCATGGTTCATCAATACCCCTGGTATTTAAGATGTAATTGCATTTCTCTACACAGCTTACTTTTAATGAGATATCATTATATATTAATTTCTATTAAAGAAGGAGCCTTTCAAAGTTATGCAAGTGAGCAAGAAATGGATACCTTCTTAATTAAAACTTTTCTGTTTTAAAGAATATATTTATCTTCATGGATTTAGTAACAACTGCTACCAATAGTAAAGTAAGGATAAGCAAAAATAAGAATTGTTAAATTTTTCAATTAATTAAAGCCCTCATTTAGAAGTATTTTATCTACCTCTTGCAGTACAGTTCAGCAGCAGCTGTTGCATGTCACTTACATAACACAGTGACATTAAGCAAGTGAAATATTTATTACAAGCAGCCAAGCCATAATTTTCAGAATGGAAAAATTTGGGTTTTTTTTTTCTGTGCCCAAGATTTCAACATCAAATAAATCACAATGCCAAAATATTTTCTAGGTAGAAGCTGTCTCTTCTATTTTTATATATTTTATAACCCTAAAAGGCTGCACCAGAAGTAAAATAAAACCAGAGCAGAAATTATGCTGAAGTTATTTAACACCTAAGGTGGAACATCAGTTAAGCAAAGTTGGGTGAACCTTATTTCTCTGAAGAACATTTATTTTAGGTGAGTATAGCTGGCAAATCAACAAAACTGCAGGCCCTGTTTGGCACTGAGCAAACTGCAACTATAAAGTTCAATATATTTATTTTATTATTAAATTTGTATACCACCTGATGCCCAACAACTCTGCACAACAGTTACCACAGCTTTTAGCACAATGTATTTCTAAAGATATTGTATCTCCAAGATAAATATTCTTAGACAAATGTTTTAAAAAATACAGTCTCTACAAACAGTGATTTGAACTTGCAACATTCTAGTGGCTGTTATATTAGATCAGTGTTTCTCAACCTTAGCAACTTTAAGATGAATGGACTTCAACTCCCAGAATTCCCCCCCCCCCCCTCCTGGGGCGGGGGGTTTTGGGGGGGTATGGACATTACCTTTTATTGTTTCTGAGGTGGGGGAATAACGGCTTAT